TTGTGATCATTAGTTTACTTGAATTATAAATCATATAACTTACCAATTTGAATTAATAAATTGTTAGTTGAATAAATATAACGATTCTATTTCATATGTCTAATAACATTATTTAATTAAAAGACACATTGAAAAAACGAAAGAAAGCGCGCCATTCATTAGATTAATTTGTTATTGTTAATCATGAAGATTTATGATATATTGAGAAATTCGACTTTCTCGAACTATAAAAGTATATTAATATATATATTAACTAACTTAAAGAGCAGAGGGTTGAAAAAGAAAAACATATGTGAGATAAGATAATTGTGTTTTATACTTGTCAAAATAAATTTTTATTTGTTTATCATTATTACACGTTATACAAAAAAGAACAGAAACCAACGAATTTATTATTTTATAGACAATAAGAGTTTTATATGATAATTAATGAACTGTGTAGGATATAGATAAAAAAATTATTCTATTTTTTTCTAGGATAAGATAGTGTTATCACAGTCGACATATTTACATCGAATACTGTATGTACAGTTTTTATTATTTATCACAATAGCTACAGTGTTATATTGATGATGAGAATTTCTCTTTGAATAATATCTACAATTACCTGCAAAACTGAAACATAATAAGTTTTTATGTTAAGTATCACGAAGGCACAAATGTATATAACCTTGATGTAATCGATCGGATATAATTATATTTTCAATAAAAGCAGTAAATATTTATATATCTGGTACAGATAAATCTAAATTATTAATTTTGTTAACATGTAATGAATATGCTCAGTTCTGACTTCAATTACTATTTCATGTGTATCTATTAAAAAAGACAAATTGTTTCTATGTTCATTAATTACTTTAATTCTCTTTTCTGAAAGAAAAGGTTATATGCTGTTTAAAGTTCAAATAGCCTTACTCTAGTTTTTTTAGGCCGAGGAATCCGAATCCGAGGTTAGTTTTTTTTAAATTTTTTATGTCTCATTTTTTTACACAAAGGACCACTTTTTGACGAAAAAGTTTTTTTTGAATAAAGTTTGATCAAAGGTAATAGGGATCTGGGAATCTCAATCTGAGGTTAGTTATTAGAGCATGGAGAATGAGACGTGACTTCGTTTCAAATGTTTATTTTACATATATGTATATGAAATGACACCACATACTAAACTAACTCGAGAGAAAAAAAATACGTGTATATATATGTGGATCACAAAGGGATGAATACATATCACACGAAACAAAGGGAAGAAAGAAAGATATCGCAAGAATTAAAGAACAAATATCTGATGTAGATTGAGGGGTGAAAGAATAAGTGAAGAAGAGAATCTAGGTGTCGCCTGTAATAGTCGATCCATGCGCGAGAAGATGTGTGTCCGCATACATATATCTGATAGAACGAAAGAAAAAAGTTTAACAGTAACGCGACACAAAAAATGGAAAAAACGAACGGAAGGAAAGAAAGAAAAAAACATATATGTTTACTTAGTTGTTTCTTCTTTTCTGCTTGTAATGATAATAATGTTCTCTTGTGAACATTCTTTTGTGTAATATCTGTTCCAGTTCTTCAGCTGCTGTTGGATTCTTCACTTCAATGCATAATGTCCCATATTTGAAAATCTTGACGTTCAAGAATTGTATACTCATTCCTCTTAAAATATCTTTGATGTCTCGATGTTGAAATTTGTGATGAATTGGACGAACGACTTCAGAACGATATCGGTTTGCTCGACATCATCGACAACTAACTTGGTTTGGTGTTGTATTTTCATTTAAATATAGTTGTGGACCTAAATAGTAAGAACTTGTTTTTATCTGTAAATTATTTACTTCATGAATTTGTTGTGTAGTTAATGTTGTACTTATAAAACTATGTACCACTAGTGTAGTAATTGAATTAAAGATTTTTTAAGAAAATCAGAGACTGAATGTTGTAATTAATCATCAAATTAAATGTGATTTATGGAATAAGAGTATTGTTTTTCCATATTTTGTAGTGTTGAATAAACGCAATTGTTGATTTTTAGAATAAACCTTTATATCAATGGCTATGGTCCATTCGTCTGTTTATTTCGTACGAGCAAACTAATATTAAACATTGTACATTTATGCTGAACAATTGATACTAGTAAAATATGTACAATATTTTTGATAAAAATTCTAAGAGTTGGTGTATTTTCAAACAAACCTGATGGTTTTGCATGTATAAAATGATATGATATCTTTGCACATATTGATCTAAAAATAAACAAAAGATAGTTAATTGAATTAGAAACATAAGTAGAGATAAGTCTTCGAAAAAAATAAATCAATTTGAAACGAAGCAGTTATAAAAAGAATTCTATCGCAGATTTAAAAAAAGAATTTATCATCACTTACGCTTCTAAAACTAGAGATTGTTATAAAAAGTTTTCATTATAACATTCGGTTGTATTATTAATATGATTTGGAGCATTCAGAAAATCGTAAAGTATTTTTAGACATGACATAGGACCAATATAATGATTTTATATGCCAAGATTTTAGTCTATCATGTATTTCAAGTCGATGTATGTTTTAACAAATTTGCTCGAAGAAATAGATTCATATAAATTCGATCTGTTACAGGATAATATTCAAATAATGCTAGTAATTGATCAACCGTAAGAAAACAAAATTGTCGATATTTCTTTTCTTTTCAATACTTATACAAGACAATCTAATCATGAATCAATGAACAAAACAGTCTGTTTGAACAAACTTAATCAGCAACCACCGAACATATATATATATATATATCTTTTTTTTCCTTTTAATTACGCGCGCTTTCTAACACAAGTTTTTTCTCATCTTGTAAATGACACGATAACTGCATAATAAAAGTTGATGTTATGTTTTTGCAAAATTATTTGTTTTCTCATGTTCATATTAACATGGTAGGAAATAGAGACAATCTAACTATATCGTTTGATATAATTCGAATAAAAGACAATCATCTGAACATGCAGTATGTTCCAAACGGATCTCTCGAAATAAACTTCTAATGTATGTGCGTAGAAAAGCTTTCTCTAGTAATGTATCCACATAATGAACAAGCAGCATACTTACTGAATATAACAAAGGAAACAACCGATCAAATTCATCAATTAAAACATCAGTTGTTTCATTATCCAAAACAGCTGATTCAGCTAAAGCCATCGCAAATGCCAAAAACTTTAGATGTTGATAATGTTGCTCGGGAAGAATTGATTTGAAATACCTTCAAAAATTTAAAATTCAGTTTTCAAGTTGCAAAACAAATTTTCAAAAATCCAAAATTGAAGTTATTGTCTACTTTAGAATTTATATCTATGAAGTTTCATATGACTATGGTTCTCTATTTAGAAAAGAGAACGGCTTGACATGATTGATTTTTACTAGCACTGTTTTTGAAAACATACTATTGCAATGTTTTTTATGTTTGTTTTAATAACTATATTATGAACAAAAATATGAGATATTTGTGATGATGTTGACAATAAAAATAAGGGTTACTCATCGCATATGAAAAACTTACTGATATCCAAATAGTAAAGTTAGACGATATTCGTTCCCTTTATATGTCGTAAAAAGCCTTAATTGAGATGGTAAATGATACGTAGTGGTACGGTACTAAATAGAGTCCAACTTAGCTTCAATCATGTTTAAAGTTTTATGTAAAGAGTGTGGTTCAAGTCGACTTGTAAACCATATTTCCATCAGACGTTTCTACAACAATAACAAGAATAATAAGTACACTCTAAATAAAAGTGGTGCTCTACTAAACCCTCAAAAAAGGTTTCGCCGTTATGAAAAAAGTCTTCAAACATGTTAAAAGCTTGAAAAACACAATAAAAAATTCTACAAAGCCATTAAAGAATCTTTCAGTGTATCGTGGGGAAGAATCTTGTCCTACAAAACCTTTTTTTAAGTTCAGGACACCGAAAAAAAGGTTTCGTGAAGAAATACGAAACTTTTAGGGTTTTGTATTAAACTCCACAAGAACATTAGGATTTAGTAGGAAACTATTCGGGTGAGTGTGGGTAAACGAAATATAAAGCACCCACACCCAAAATGAAAGGTCGAAAAAGTCGTCTGATTATGTATGATTCTACTCAGTTTTTTATGCTGATTCTGAATATCATATCTATTTGGACTGGAATAATAATTTTTGTAATCAAAGTCTACAGATTATTAATGAAAAACACTGAAAACTGCGTCCCGGATGTAGTATACCTCAGAAGATTTCTAGTGGTCATACGTTTTTGACTTTCGCTACTATATGGTTTGTAGCTTTCGAAAAGGGCTATCAAATAAGCATAGCCAAATTTCTGATCATTTCAATTTTTCTATTCAAACATCTCAAAAAATGGAATAATAAAGTGCTGATTTATATATGAAATTACAGCTCCATTAAATTGCTATCAATTTCATCATTTCAGCACCATCTTATCATATAAAATTCAATCAAGTCTGAAGAAGACCATTATTAGGCTAATGACGCAAAATGAGGTATTTTGTTGATATGCTTTAACTTTTGAAAGTCGTTTAAAGCCTCATGAACTTTACATAAAAATGTTCGCCTCAACTTGCTCTTTACACTGATATAAAATTCAATACGGTTTGTCGGGGGGGGGGGGGGGGGGATGGGTTGATTCTGTATTATATGCGTCCCCGTTCTTTCACTAAATCATGCAATTATCATAAGACATCAAAGGTCTTCCTTAATATCTTTTCCAAAATATTTGAAAAGCTTCACATGGTAGTAATTCTAGTAATGAATAATTACAAATATCAAGAGTATTAAGCACATCGTCGCTCTTTCTCATTCACCTTTATTGGACGTGTTCTGCTTTATTCTTTCAATATTTTCTAACGACAACCTTCGCTATCTAAGCCGTATGATAATATCAACTGTATGAATGATGCATTAAACCTTTATCAGTCTTACTTATCTTTTCTTTTTGATATTAACATTAAAAAACATTTTGAAAGATTTTAAACAAAGATATGAGGGTAAGTTAAGAGTCTTGTTGATACTAATATTTGAATTTTATATTTATTTAGAATATGTATTTTCTAACTATATTAGTTTTATTTCAAGTTATCAGTAACATTCAATGTCTTTCCAGTCCTATTCGACAGTTTACAACATATCGGAATGCAACTGAACTTATGAAGAATGTTGCCGACTTGTGGTGGACAGTGGACGATGTTGATAAAGAGATTACTTTCGAATTACATGTCAAGACAACAGGATGGGTTGCTCTCGGCATTGCATCAAGTAAAGTTTCGCACTAATTGTGCGTTGGATACGAACGTGTATCTATGAACTGTTGAAGAAGAATAAATCTCTATATCGCAAAAGTTTCAACCCAAAGAAAGTGACTAACGTTCCGTTCTTCTTCTTGTCTATATAATGTACAAGAACAATGTTTTGGTATGTAGTTAAAATTTTCAACTAAGTATCATAAGAAATTGTGATATTTCGAGTTCTTACTAGAGTATCTATGCATAAGATTCGTCATTAGGATTTTTGAAGTATCGAAATAAGATATATTAGTATCAATTCTGAAGCGCAAAAAAATACCTTGACATCTTCTTTTAGCTGAAGAAAACAGTAGAGATGCAGACATGGGAATTGGTTGGATTAATGCAAATGGACAATTTTATTTTGAGGTAAAGCTAACTATCATCGTAGCACTCTAATTCATTTTTTATTATGATAAAAAACAGGATCGTTTTGCTCATGGCTTTGTACTGCCAGTCAAGGACTCAACAACACAGGATTGGTTTGGCTTGCAGGGACGAGAAGAAAATGATTGGACAGCTATTCAATTTAAGCGTGCATTGGATACGCATGACACTATGGATTTTCCCATACGAGTAAGTTCTATCATTGTCATTTACATCTTCCTTATTCATTTGTTCTCTTTCAGTCAGGAATTAATGTTCTCTTATTTGCCTATGGACCCGTCGATCCTAATCCTGATATAACATATCATGAAGATCGTCGCAGCACACATAGACTTTCTCTTTGGAAGTCTTAACAAAATCAGAATATACTTTTTTTAAATTATAGATCGGTTTGAACTATAATAAATAATATCGTATTTTTTTTCTTATACTATTCATCAATGCACACTTCACATTAATCTCATGACGGCATCCTAGGGAAACGTTGATGAGTAGACGACTGTATTAGAACAATTTCCACCTCGAGCGTGTGAAGTGTGAGATAACTGAAATAAATATCTATACTCATGAACGTATTGAATAAATATTTTGAATTAAAAAATATAACTTTTTATTTATAAACAATTATGACTTAAGATTGTTGTTGTACGTTTGTGAAAGATAGAGTGTGGGTGTGGATATGGGTGCTGATGAAGATTAACAAAAGATACATCTGCATCCGCACTCGATTTTTTTTTTAAAACAAAAACTTTGGCTTTGTTAGATTGTGGCGCTGAGCTTTATAACATTTAAAATAGCAAAGAAATCTTCTCATACAGAATCAGATCAGAGAAAAAAAAGTCTCAAGAAAAACACAAAACAAGTCTTTAGTTTGATTATCATGATTTTTTTTTCTATGAAAAGATATAAGAAAAAACTGAGAGCAATTCATCAGAGGTTATCGACTATTGTGAATCGAATAAGTACATGCAGAGACATATGTGCCGTACTTTTTTCTTTATGTGAGTGTCATTTCCACTCCAAAACTAATGTAAGTAATGTTTTGAATGCGATATTATCAAACAAAAAAATTAATTTTTCCCGTATCAAATAAGCAGAAGAAAATAAATTCCTTATCCTTCAGTGTTTTGTATAAAAACAACACAATTTATTGGTAGAACCAGTTCTTACGTTTCATACATGATAACCGAAGCAGTGGTTGACACGTGCTGGCTAGATTCTTCATTGACTGAAGCCTATACAGAAGCTCGAATTATTGCAATAACCGAAGCTATCGAGAAAAACTACTGTAAAGTCCTCAAAACCCATCATAGAATCAATAAATCCTTGTGCATTCAATAGTAGAGATTATGAGCGAATTTAACTATGTATAAATAGCTAAATCTGTATTTTGTTGAACATTGCTGGTTTTTTAGGAATCGGGATCCTTAGTGAATTAGTCTTAAGTTTATTCTATTATATATTATTCATGATAATGTTTCACACGTAATAATCCAGATCATTTGTAGTTGTTAATGAATTGTACAAATGTCGATATGTATATAATGTGATATTATCCTTTCATTAGATAAAATCATCAGTTTCTAATTGTTTTTTTTCATGTTACGCATGTGAATGAATCGTATCAAATATAATTCTTGAATAATAATCGTTCATTAAGTTTAAAATAATTTATAAATCAGGGCATGAGAATCCGCCGATAGATATAGTATTCAGACGATATCCAAAGCAACTCAAGATAATAAAATATTATTCAATTTATGTGAATTAAGTAAGTCTGTATTTTAATCTTACCTTCTGCTCGCATTCTCACGCAAAGAAAAATCAACTATGTAGAAAAAAATGCTGTTTTTCATTTTCACAATATTCTACCTCTTAATATAACTTACGACAAAGTATTAAACATGAAGTGCAATATATTATCATGTCTATTATTTGCTATGGTCTTCTTGTCGATCATGACAACAAAAATGATGATGGTTAATGCTTATCCATCAAATGGTACTTCTGTTACCTGTAGTTGTCGCTGTTTAAACTGGTCTGAATTTAGCACCCCATCAGAACCAATGGCTAGTTGTGATACCTGCAATGCTGCTGCTTGTCGAAAAATGGGAGGCAGTTGTACAAGTGGTACTATAACTGGAATTAGTTGCACTTAAAATTTTCAAATTTTTTGTTTTTACATCTTGTAAAACAATTCATCATGAAATAAAGAAAAAGATACAATGATAAAACTTCGATATATTTAATTTATTCATTTTTACGCTCATCAATCCAACTCGCTCTAATTATTTATATAATTTCCTATTCAAATTTTTCTTTCTTAGAATATTTACAATTATTAGCATTGTTTATTAATAAAAAGAAATTTTATTTAAACCTTCCAGTCTCATAGTATCATAAAAGCAATATTTATTTTATAATTATTTTTCATAATAAAAATTATAAAACTCAGGACAAAATATCTTGTAAAGAAAGAGATAAAGAGTATGCTAGAACATTTGCGTGGCAGGCATCACCTTTATATATTTTCTTTCTATATTCAATAGAACATCATTCGCATATAAGTCACTTTCTTTTAATGTGTTTTCTCTTATGTGTGCGACCTAATGTAAGTGTAAGTGTGTTCATTGTTTATTTTAAAAGTAAAAAGAGATTCTCAAGAACATAACATCTGACAATCTACATAGAAGATATATAATCATTTCCTAAGAAAGTTCCCGAACGCACAAGAAAAATTTTAAAAAAATACTGTGATTCAACTAGAATTTTTTTCTTTACGCAGTCTCAGATATCCTTCAAAGAAAGTATAACAAGTGCTTCATTTATTGATGGGGAAGTACGATTTTTATGATGAAAATAACATGCGAGAAAACGCAGGTTATGAAGGATATGTGTCTCTGTATCTAAAATAAGCTACTTTAACAAATTATTTTGGAACTAAAAGGGTTACATCATAGCATTCAAGCTTTTATACTTTAAGAGAATTTCCAAGAATATTCTTATACGATTATATCTTAACAACTTCTATCAAATAAGATCATAGTTTAATCAAGATAGTTTTGTTTTTAATTATATATTCTCAAAATGTTTATAATCATCTATCATTGTTCATATTATTCATAATATTATCTTGTTTTTTGTGTTATATCTAGTAGTGTAAACCGTGCAGATAAGCAACCGCCGCCAATTATCCTACCGGCTTACACCTCTATTTATGTCATCAAAACAAACTCTTAAAAGTAAATGAAGTTTTTCTAAAGAATATTATGATAACAGGAATAAATGTTTATAACCTTGGGTTCATTTTCTAATGTATAAAAATTTGAATAGATAGTTTCTATAAAAAATATATTGCATCAAAATGCACTGACGGGCCATTTTATATATTAAAAAAATATATATTTTTAAATTAAAAAAAAATATGGCGGGGAATAGTTCTTTGACAAAAATGATTTTGATGTTCTTTAGTTAGATAAAACTAAATATTGTCCATAGTGTATAAAGAGAAATATTATTTGATATTTTACTTCAGATATTCTCTAATAGAATTTCTTTACAATACAATTCAGACTATGATTTAAGAATAATTCAGAGATATTGAATTGAATACTATTTTTATTAGAAAGAGAATCTTTTTATTCTTTTAATGAAACTAATCTGAAGCAAAAACAAAATTCTGCTTTTTTTATTAATTTCTTTTTTCCTTTGCAACATTAGATTACAACGACATATTTCTATAACATTCATCAGATATATATATATAATTACTCTAACAAGAGAACAGCTAAAAGTAAATTTCTTTTTTTCAAACAACATATTTATTAATGAGAGTTTCTATTTTTTTTCTATAGATATTCTAACGATGTCTTCACAATCTTCTTCAACAAATTATATTTTATTATTAAAATCAATAACTAAATATTTATATCAAATAGGTGCTCCAATTTTAATATGTATTGGTAGTATTAGTTGTATATTAAGTTTAATTGTATTCACAAAAAAATCTTTACAAAAAAATCCATGTTCACTTTATTTTATTTCATATAATATAGCCAATCTTATTTTAATGTATTCATCTATATTAACAGTAACATTATCAGCTGGTTATGGTATTTCTCCTTCTGCATATAATTTAGCTTTTTGTCGTTATAATTTATATATGGCAATTCTAATCGATATTCTTAGTTCATCTTATTTAGTTTTAGCTTCGATTGATCGAATGTTAGTGACTTCTGTGAATGTTAAAACAAGACAACGAAGTACTCGTCGTTTTGCATATTTCAGTATTATTAGTATAACAATATTTTGGATATTATTTCATAGTCATATATTATCTTCAGCAGTTATTACACAAGTTACACCAAATAATTTTGTTTGTAATCTACCACCTGGAACAGATCTGATATTACATTCTTATTATTCACTTATAGTTAAAGCATTATTAATACCATTATTAATGATTATATTTGGATTATTAGCATTAAGAAATATTCGAAGAATACGTTCTATTAGAAGAACTACAAAAAAACAACTACAATCAGGTTATTCAAAAGATCGACAATTTTGCTTAATATTATTTATTGATATAGCTGCATATGTTATTTTTAGTTCCATGTTATCTGCAATTAATATGTATCAACAAATTACTCAATATTATATAAAGAGTTCATTTCAAACACAATTTGAACTTTTTCTAAAAACTACCGCTGTTTTTATCAATTATATTTCCATTTGTATTGGATGTTATACAAATATTATTATATCAAAAACTTTTCGTAAGAATATTAAAGATATCATTTTATGTAAATGAATATTCTCGTTTTTCTAATAATGTTGTTCAACAAAAAAATTTTTTGAAAACTATCCGACTTATTATAACACTATTTGTAATCTTCTATCTATTTAAATAGCATGAAACTTTGTTTATCTGATTGTTTAATAATAAATTTATAATATCTATATTTATTATTTAAGAAGGAATGAAGATATAAATATGAGAGTTGAGCTCGATGAAGTATCAAAAGAAATATCAGTTAGAGGTTTAATTTTTTCGACGATTTTCAATATTTATATCAGACTGAATGAATTGTATACTTTTCGATCAAGTAATGTGTTATTCGTGTCTTATGTATTCAAATGAATCTTCTTAAATTAAAATATTTGAGTTGATGAGTAAATTTTCTTAAGTATATGTTGATCCTTATCGTAGTAATTTTGATAGTTAATAAGAATAATCATTTAATTTTTTCAACTGCTGAATAATGATATTTATCGCTTTTTGCTCTATATAGGATTTATTTATCAATTTTTAGTATTGACTTTTATTTATTAGACGATCAGTTTTATTCCTATTAATAAAATAATTAACCATCAATTTAGAGGAAAACATAGAGATGAGTATGTTTATGTGTCTGTAGGATGCATGTAGAAAATACATTTATTTCTATATTAGGACAGATTGAGATGCTTTTGGTGTTTTTACTTTGACTGATTATTTTCTAAATTGTTAACTTAAAGTTAAACTCAATATTTTTCGAATTCAATCATGTGCGTAATTGTAACTCAGAATGCGTTTACAAGGCGATCGTAGGGGTGGGTGTGGGTGTAAGTACTGTATTCATCTAGTATCCACACTCACACCCACCCTTAAGATAATTTCAATAGTAATAATAATCGTTATTTTTGTTGTAGCTGATTACTAATAACTTCTGTATAGTTTGATGTGTAATATAATCAATTATACTCTAACATTTATATTTTTAAAATGAAAACGTAAATAATATTTGATTATGTAATCACTATCTAATATTTTGTATTTATAATAATTCATACAAAGAAATGATCATACATCGAAATACATCTAGTAATCAATTAGAATTTATTTTCATCATTTTTCTTTTATTATAAAAAAATTGTAACTTTATCATTAAAGTCTATCTATGTATATATATATATATATATATCTACAAACATGTGCTTATTAATCAGAGAAAGAGAATAGTAATAAATTTTACATTATCTTTACCAACTTCATAGTATGAGACGTTATCTTATATAAACGAATACCTCGTCGAAGGTTAAGTATAAAACAAAGAGAATATGTATATATACTTCAATAGAACTAAAAAAAACTTAAGATGAATCTTCGTCTTGTCGTATTAATAGGAATCATTCTTACGTGTTTCTCGTATACGAATTGTACATTTAAATATTCAACTGAATTATATCATTCACTTTATAGTACAGTTGGTAATCCAAATATATCATCTGAATATGATTGTGCACTTCGAGCATTTACTATTGAAATGGCTGCATATATTGCGCCTCCAGCTGTGAAAACGAATTGGACAACACTTGCTCAAAGTGCTTTTCAAATGAATCAATGTAATAATACTTTATATTCTACTTATCAATCACCTAATCATCATCATAAAGCATTTAATACAAACCAACAAACTTGTTATCATAAAATATTTGTACATGATATAAAAGGTAATGATTTATTTGATGGAACATTCGAGCAACCAAAGAAAACTATACAAGCAGCATTATCTTTAACACGTATTCTACGTACTGGCTATGGTACTGAAAATATATTATGTATTATTATACGTGGTGGAACTTATTATCTTGGAACAAATGCTACTTCGACAAGTAGTCAAATAGGTGCTATTGCATTAACAAGTAATGATAGTAATCTTATTATAGAAAACTATCAAGACGAGCGTGTAGTATTGAGTGGTGGCACATTACTTCAATTACAATGGTCTCTACATACCAAAACAAGCCAAGGTAGAACAATTATGAAAGCTCAACTACCATCATCACTCAATCTCGACCAATTCAATGAATTGTATATTGATGGAAGAAGAGCCATCGTGGCTAAATATCCGAATGGTGATCCATCAACTCAAGGGCTATATGCTCAAGATCCAGGATTTTCTTATAATTCACAAAGTTGGATATCACCAATTCATAATCCAAGTGTAGAAATTCATATACAAGAACCTTATCGAAATGGTACCGTATTTCCTAATTATCAACTTGGTGTTGGTGGTGGTGCTGCTGTTTTTAATCCACCCACGAACTTCTGGAGTACTGCTTCACCACCTCAGGGCAATAACTATGTTGTTCCTCGTGGTCTTGTCGTGAAAAGTGATGCATTGCCTCATATTCGTAATTGGAGTGAGCCAACTACTGGGCTTGTCCATGCGTTTCATTCTGGCTATTGGGGTAGTTGGATATTCGAGATAGCATCGGTTAACACATCACAAAACACGATCATGTTTGGTCGAGGAGGTTTTCAAGAAGCACGTGGTTCTGATTCTGGAGGTGCATTCTATATTTCTAATATTTTCGAAGAACTCGATTCACCAAATGAATGGTTTGTAGATAGACATACTCGTACTCTCTATTTCATGCCCAATGAAACAATGCCCGATGTGTTTGTGGCTAGTCAAATTCCATGTCTCATCTCCGCAAGTGGAAGTAGCATGGAAAATTCTGTTCGAAATGTAATAATTCGTGGTCTGATAATGACAGAAACAAGTAGTACTTACATGAAAGATTACATGGTACCAAGTGGTGGTGACTGGTCTGTTCATCGAGGTGGTACGATGTATCTGACAAACACAAAAAATATTACCATTACGCATAATTTATTCACACAAGTGGGTAGTAATGGCATTGCTGTGATAGATTATAATGATGAAACTCAGATTACGCTGAATGAATTTGTTTGGTTAGGCGAATCAGGTATCGTTTTAGTTGGTAGTACGAATGGAATTGATGGTTTTAGTGTGATTAGTCAACCTGCAAATACTTTAATAGAATCGAATTTAATTCACGAGAGTGGTATCTATGTGAAACAATCATCACCTGTACTGATCTCTGTAAGTCGAAGTGTATCAGTAATAAGAAATCTAATGTTTAATATACCACGAGCAGCAATCAATGTGAATGATGGATTTTATGGGAATCATACAATTAGTTATAACGTTATCTTTAATACTGTACGCGAAACTAGTGATCATGGAACTATTAATACTTGGGATCGACAACCTTTTCTTAGTGATGCTGTTCAATCCGATGTTCCATCACTTTGGCAACATACAAGCTATATTCATCATAATGTTCTTTACAATAATTATAATTCTTTTTACCCTATCGATCATGATGATGGTAGTTGTTTCTATGAAGATAGTTATAATTTTCAAGTATATGGTGGAAAGAAAAATTATTTAGGTCATTCAAAAATGGATCATCATGAAATTTATGTATATCCTGATACAAAATCTAGTCAAGGAACAGGTGTTTGCATTGCAGATCAAGCCCCATCGCGAGGTTCCAGTGGTTGGAATGAAGTTTGGATTGAAAATACTTGTATACTCTACAATAGTTCTGTACCATATAATATTTGGAATTGCGATACAGCCAATCTTTTTGTACCTTCATTAGCATCGAATAAAATCTACATTCCATCCGGTACACAAGTCGCATTTACATGCAATGTCAATGGTACCAGTGCACAACTTAGTTTAGATCAATGGCAATCATATGGATTGGACATTGGTACTACTGTACAATCTGCACCAAATATTGAAACAATTATTCAATGGGGTCGAGAAATGTTACAAAATACAATATGAAACAACTTGTAACTTAAAATAGACATGCTTTTTCTTGATTTCATATTTTCTATATACTGTTGTTTAATCTGCTTTTTTTCTATATTAATCTAGAGCCTTTTATAGAAAATCTATCTTATCAGGAAATAATCAATTGCATAGAATTATCATAGCACGCCTCACTTTCAGGTAAGGGTGTGGGTGTGAGCCCAGGTCAACCAATCCAACGTTAGATTCGATCATCCGACAGGATTCCTGGTTACGGATTTGCATTGGATTCCGTACGGAAAGTTTTCAGTCACTTGCTGCAAATTTGATGAGCAACGTTTTTAGCTATTTTCTATGATGGCCTTATGGTCACCTGTCGGATCCGTCTAGATCCGTTTGTTGGAAATTGTGAGATCCGATGTTGGATCCTATGAGATCCGACCACAACGGAATCCGAAGTGATTCCATCACCAGGAATCCTATAGGGTTTTGTCGGGTCGTCGGATTCCGATAGAATCCGGCAGAGGATCCGATCGGATCCGAATACGGGATTGGTGGACCTGGGAGTATAGATATTAAATTTGTCTCACACCCACACCCACACCCTCAAGATATTATTCAATAGAACGATAAAAGGGCCTCAATATGACAGATGATACAACTAAAACTTAGCATCTCGCTACTTTTTAAAACATACAATATAGAGAAAACATTCATAATTAAGTTGAGTCGCGTATCATGTGAAATACAGGCATATTCAAAGCTGTTCATTATTGCTTCGACGGTAAGCTTATAGAATATTTCTGAACCTTAATAGAGTTCAACAGATTTTAACATTGATGTCAATCCATGGTAGATTCAAAGATTAATACATTCATTTCAGTCTGTACCTTCTATTTTTTTTGCCATTTACAGTGAGTTGTCGAGCACAGTGATCAAAGATGGTTTAATGCCTAAGACGGCAATATTTCTACATGAAACAAGTTCATCCATTGCAAAACAAGCACAGCAAAAATGGTTGCATAACAAATATCCAGGGTATATTTTCAAATCACAAGCAATGGTAACAGAAAATGGAAAATATTACGATCGGGTGACTATTCGGACAGCAGCAGATGGACAACAGCTGACTGTTTATTTTGATGTTACACAATGCTTTCAATATCCTCTTTCGGATTTGATGTGCATGTTTAAAAAACAACAAGAATCTGATTCAAAATGACATAGAATATAAATTTTTTGTTTTTGTACAAATCTTCGTATTGTGACTATTAATCGTTCAACCGATATCAAATAATTCCTCGTAGTACATATTTTGATACTAAGAGATTAAATTCAAAACGTCTGATCGTTATCAAAGAGTTAACTATAAAAAAATAATGCTTGTAAACGACTGTATTTGATATCATACGATAAAACTTCGACGGCTTTATATTCAAATCTTAAGATAGTTAAAATATATTTATTAGAGTGTAATGAATGACACATGAATGACTCTTTTAGATGTTGTTTCGAAGAAGTTACTATGCGCATGAATGTTCCTATTAGCTTACACATCCACCCCACCAGGCTAGTAAAAAATATTGTTACGCAATAACATCACTTACCATATTGCCGTCATGACGATAGAATGACTCATAATTTTAACATACACGTCATATATTTCATGATTTTGTCTGTTCTTACATCATTCTTTTCGAATTGGTATATATAGTCAGTCTTTTTGTATGACATCATCAGCAATCTCTCGACTGATTTTCTAATCAATCGATTGAATATGTTGTCAGATAGCGACGATGACGATGATTGGCCTGGTTATACTTCAAGTCAAAATTATTGTGATATTGATTATCAAATCGATTTATTTGAAATGCGTCAATCTATTAAACGGGATAAGTATTGGAAACAAAAACGAAACCAATCATTATATCCTATATCAACGAGAAAACTGCAATCACATGCCGTATTATTAAAAATCTGTTGTAAACGATACAAACAAAAACCTAAAATTGAACAAAAATCATTTGGCTATCAACATTTTTCATCAGTATCAAATAAATTCGAATGTGATGAAGAATTCTTAGTAAATACAACAAATACTGAATCTAAAAAACGATCAAAGTCATCCAAAAAATTAACCAACAAAGATCTGACAACATTTTCTAATTTTCGTGCTCAATTCTATCAAAAACATCATCAAAATATCAAATCATCTCTCAATAATCGTTCCGATATCAAAATTGTTAATATTAGATTAGCACCAATTAATGAATCTATTCAAATCGAGTTTATGAAAAGATTAAATCAAAATAACGATTCTTCAGTACAATTAGTTTACCATGGAACACACTTTAAAAACATAGAAAGTATACTTCGTTTTGGCTTTTTAATACCAAATCAAGTACATCCAACAATTAAAAATGCGCCAATTATTCGATCAGTAACTGGTCAAGCATTTAGTCTAGGAATTTATTGTAGTCGAACTGCACATTATTCTCTATCGTATACTCGAGCTACAAATACGATTTTAGCTTGTGCTGCAATATCAAACTATGATCAAGTGAAAAAAATTCAATATTTTACTAGATATATTTTAGTTGTGCCTCATGAATTGCAAATTATACCATTGTTTTTAATTGATTTCTCTTTGTTGAATGGACTAGATTGTGATTGTTCTTTGTATCCTTTATATACACAACTACAAACAGATAAAATCCAAAAAGAGAAACAACCGATGATTATCGCAAAACAAATTTTACGAAAAGTATTGAATTGTATGAATAATCGTGTTCGAAAGAATCAACGATATCAAATACGACTATCTGATTAATATAGTTGGTGCTTTCTTTTTTTTGTTCTTAGTGTAAATAAACTAGTTTAGACTTAAACTAAATTTTAAGTCATTGAAATTATAATAATAATCTTTAAAGTTGTTAGCGAGCGAGTATTTTATTCGCGCTTTCATCTGATGGAAGAAAAATACTCTTCTGAAATATACATACGTTTCTGATCATACAACCTCTCGTATACTCAACAAGTAACATTTTAACACTTCCAATAGAAAGCTTACAAAAGTAGATTTCACAAGACAAAAAATTTATAATAAATTAACCTATCTGTTACATGTCACTTTCATATTTGAACCCGCCAAGAACTTTGATGACAAGCCCTTCTTCTTATTTTTGTCCTTGAAATGAATGTCATCACTTCTTCTCTTTCCTTCATCTGGTTCTAATCAATTTTAAAAAAAATGTCCTTAGACTTTATTTTTCTTACTACATATAAAACAAGAAATATATGCAGCTAGTACGATCATGACGAAATCAGCTTGAGTATGATAAAGAGAGTCTCTTCATATTAGAAATAATTGTCAAGAATAAATATTTGTTTATCTATATTGTATTCTAATTTACGAATATTGAACGCATTGAATACTATTGGTTTTGCCGGTTTGTTATTATTTTACACTTAAAAATGGAAAACAGAGCTACAGAAATATCATGGTTGACATGTATTCTTCTGTTGTTAATTAAGAGAAAGGGAATAATCTATAGGCAAAATAGATCATCCTAGCAAGATGAAGTGATAAGCTATGTTGTTGACAGGTCCTTTTACGCAGTCGATGTAATATTAATTATGAACTGAGAGGATATATATAACGACGTATTTCTGAAAATTGATTACAAAAGAAATAAGTTTTACATATTCGGTGAGAAAGCCAAGAAGACAGCGACCATGACCGACTCCCTAACACGAATCACTATTGGAATGATTCAAGACATAGTCCCCATAATTATGGTTGTTGGTATAATAGGAAACTGCCTCAACATTGCTGTGCTTACAAGACCTTCCCTGTATAAACATGCTTGTTCTCGTTATTTTCTGGCTCTTGCTTTCAACAATTTGTTTTACACAAGTGCAATTCTTGTTTATCTTCTCCTGGCTAATGGATACCGCCTTGATGTAACTAAAGTTTCTCTTATTTTATGCAAACTCATTACATATGTCTATCAAATATGTGCAACATTATCACCATTTTTTATTGTTCTTGCTACAATCGATCGATATTGTACCAGTTCAACGAGTGTTCGCTTGCGCAAATTCAGTAATGTTAAAGTTGCTCGTTGGGCGATAATGTTCATTATTATTCTTATCATGCTTTTCTATCTGAATACTGCAATTCTGATAGATTTAAGATCAACCGACGCATTTGGATGTCGTGTTCGAGCTGATACTATCTATAAACAAGTGTATTCGATCATGCAAATTTTTCTGTTTGCTATTATTGCACCATTTCTTATGATGTTCTTCGGTATCATGACCATATACAATACAAAACAAGTGCGTATCATTCCTACTGCAATCATACAACATCGTCGAACCGAATATCAACTTGCTCGAATGCTTTTTATACAAGTAGGCTGTCAGAGTATACTCACTGTGCCAACATGTGTAACTTATCTATTATTGGTCGTGCCAAATACAATTCTAGCTACATCTGGCTTTTATTTTGCTCGAATGATGTCTCAACTTCTCATGTATTTATCCTACGCGATGCCATTCATTTTATATATTATTTCGGCTCGAACGTATAGAAAAGAACTCGTTATATTGGTGTATAAAATTCTACGACTCCGTAACTGTGTTGAAATTCATCCATCGACTATGGCAAACACAAATCCCAATCTAACAGTCAATGCAAAGTCTCTCACAGTAGCAGTAATACATTAGAAAACAATATAATCTATCTACAGTTAAATTCAATAACTTGACTAATTTGATATATAGATGAAATAATTATAGTGTTGTTGCGATGTCGCCCATCTACATTTACATTTATTATACTTTCGTATTCGTTTCTTGTAATTTATGTACCATCTCCATGTATTATCGTTGTTCGTATGTACTTGTTTTATGAAATAAAAATATAGAGCTATACTTTTGATTTTACTAAATAAATCAACTTGAAATATATAGTTTTTACTATGAATGAAAATCTTTCATAACATAATGATGTACTGCTTTTCCAATTGTCCTCCTTATCTTAATTATTAATTTTAATTATTCTGCTATTTTATTCATCATCAATGAACATTAAGAAAAGCTTTCGTAATTATATTCAAAATGATTAATTTATTGATAGATAAAATTAATGAAATGTACAATAATCATAAAAAATAAATCAGATAACGAATACTTATGAAAAACAATAAACGTATTCTTTATCTGAGACAAAAACAAATTCATATATTATGTGTCTATTTACATAGTTTGGTGAGTTATTCAAAAGAAAAATCGAGTTCATGAAGTACTTGTCATATTCGTGCATTCCATGGTGACGCATCCACAAGATGGTTCACAACATTTTTGGTTCCATTGACAGCCACTGTCATGCTTACAACACAGTGAAGGATTGTCCATGCATGTCTTTGCCTTCTCCTCAGCCGTGCACGCCATATCACAATGAAATTCGTAAGTTGGACATTTACCAGCTGAATATAACAAAGTTAAGTATTTTTTATGTAAAAAGAAAATAAAACTTACGATGTGACACAACATAACATCTTGTCAAATGACTAAAAGTCAAGAGTAAGAAAAGACAAACAATATAACGCATTTTATTCTTAATACCAGTGATAAAAGTGTTTATTAATTATACACATAAACATCGATATATATATATCGTACCGATTTTATTTTTTTCTTTACATTCACTCTCTTTTGCGTCATCTACCATATATAAATAGATAAATGAATGACTACACCTGCTATACCATAAATAACATTCTCGGACATTTCATGTTAATAAGTACAATTAAATCTAACGAAAAACGCATATTACTATTTTTATCTTTGACGTCAAATCGCATATAAATAAAGTGCATTATATTATGACTCATGAAGATTAGAAAATACTAATAGGTCAGTTTTATTTTATATCTCTATTATTTTTCGATTTTTGATTAAGTATATAAATGTGATTGAGATTAAACTAAACTACGATGGATTTTACTTAATAAATATCATTCTTCTTGAATATTTTCAATAACTACAGCAGATAGAAGATATTAAATTCACTTCTATTTACGTTTACAAAACAATTCTTCACCATATATTGCGCTGTTTCTTTCTATATTGGTATTACGTTTGTATATACTCTATAATCTTTGTATTAGGCCTTAGACGAAACGAACGATAATGTTCTATAAATATATATTCATAT